TCTAACAATGGAAAACAAAAAGGTTGGGTAACATTTGAAGAGGACGATTTAGTCTTAACCCTGAAACCATTGGCCAATCCCACTGATTTAAAAAGAGCTTCTTCCCTCCAAGCAACTTATTTTTCACTGGGCACTGAACAAAATATCACTGACTCAGACTTTACTGTTTACAATGGTCATAACAAAAGTTCTGGCTCTTTTCATCTATTGCCAGCAAGGCCCCCTCCTGCACCTCCTATACCATCCAGATCTACCAACAACAGTTCAGTCACAGATCCTTTAATTTGTTTAGCACCTAAAGTATTACCGACACAAGATTTTATGGAAAGATAAATTATTTAAGATATAATTATTTAAACTGGGTAGAAATGATTAGTTAAAAAATAACTAATAGAACTGGGCATTGATTTAATTCTATATGTGCAATACTTTAATCAGATGCACTGAACATTAATTCTTAGGTTACTACACAAAGGTGGCAGGGTGTGAAATCATGCACAGATTTAATCTAAATAGTGCTCTCATTCTGTTCCTTTAATGGATACAATGCAAGGAAAAGTTATGCTTGTTTCAATTCCACTCTAGTTCATAGGAAAGTATAAAATTAAGTTTGTTTTTCAAGACCAACAAGCATGCATTGATTTCTCTGTCTAACGCACATAAGAGTTTTAAACAATTGTTTCTTGAACATTCTTATATAAGAATTTAAATACCACTTTAAATGCCCTTCGGTTAGAACGTAGAACCACTTCCAGTATCTGATAAACTGGTATATTTATAAGTATTCACCAAAGAACTGTCAAAGTTTAATTAAGATGCCAATTGTTTAATGTTAATGTTGGGAAATAAATTATAATAGAGATTTATGAAGATTTGTAGAAGTGAATTCCCCCAACAATTTAAATAATTTTAAACAATATATAGTAATATATTTTTCCTATCATTGCACATGCTTTGTTTTGCAGATATGAGAAAATTTGTTGCAGCATTACTGTTACTCCTCCCGATCTTATTCTCATTATATAGCTTCCTATTCTATTATGAATGTTGCTTTCTAAGTTGAAGGAAATTTTATATTCATTTTGATAGGAAGATCTGTGTAAAGAAGTAATTGGATAGATGGTCCATATATTTCAACTCTCCCGCCTTTTTCCTTTACAATGTATAGAAATAATGTGTCTCAAATATGGTATCAACAAACAAAACAATGGTTTATGTACTGTTCTGACAAGTTAAATATATCACTTTCCACAGACAAACATCAGTGTTATAGGTGATGCTTCTTGAGGCAGATTCTATAATCCCATACATAATGCTTTGTAAACTATAGTTTGCCTCCAAAATTTTTGCAACAGATGGCACTTAAATGTAGTATTTTCATGTCATGAAGGAAATATATGTCTGTTCCATACTACTGTTAAGCAAGATACAACCTTTTCTTAGTCATATTGTCACACTTATTTATATTGCTTGCTTTTTTAAATTTATGAAAATCTTTTTTGAGAAGGGCCATGCTAAATACGTCTGTTCCTTTTGCTGTATTTGCAGACTGTTATAGTATGCTCTGTTTACAAAACATTTTCCTTTTGTGGTATCTGAGTGAAGCACCTCATTCCATGGAGCAGTAAAAATAAACCATCATTTCAATTTCTCTAATATTGTTCCAATGTATTTATATAAATCATCTCAAATAACACTTTTACTCATTAAAGTAGTCATTAAATACGGTGACGTCTATATTGTGCTTTTAAAATTGTACATTTTGAAACAGCAGTAGAACTATAATTTTCTGGTTCCATAATGTATTAACATCTGTGTGGTCATGCATTGGTATAATGTTAGCAACACAACTGTATTCTCGATAGTGCAATTAGAGTTCTTTTATAAGTGGTCCTTGTTTGAATATTTAATTTTCAGTTAGTATAGTTTTCCTATTAAATTTCAAATACAGGCCTCAGCATCTTCAGTGAATGATAAAATCTGGCAGCAAAGTACCACAAAAATTGCAACAAAGCATGTATGAGCATAGGATGAATAGTTAACTATTATAACGCGTACTGCTAAAGGAAATCATTAGAGAGTCAAAGTTACAATAGTCTAAAATCCTATATATTTTCATTAAGTGTTTTCCTGTGCAAATTGCTTTGTTAATGTATAACAAGTTATTGCTTGTGGTACACCATATTTGACTATCTCCATTACAATATTAATATTGATGGTTTACAATACTGCATATACATATACTGTGAAACATGTTACTTTATGAAATAAATTTTCCCATCTTTAGGAATATATCTCCATTATTGATGCTGTCAGAATTTGACTTTATCCTTGTGGACTTAAAATTTTCAGATATCTTTCTGATCTAAAATCATCAGATAATCTTTATATAAAGGCAGGGATATCAGGAAGCAACAAACATCTTGAAGCAATAAGATTGATGAAAGCTTTTGCAGAATATCTGGTCTGATTGTTCTGCTTGGTTCTTACTTCCATCTCAAATAATTCTGCCTCAATTTCTATGCCCTAACAGTTTTAACCTGTAAAAACAGACCTGGAAAAAGTGAAAGACATGGAATGGCTGCAAAAATCTTTTTATGATAATCCTCATTCTACTGTTGGTTTTTGAGCCACCCAGAGCCTTAGATAGAGATGGGGCTATATAGTTTTGAAATTGCCATCAAAATGGTGTCAACTCTTAAAACCACATGGATTTTCTCCAGGACAATCTGTTCCCACCGTGATCCTTCAAGTCTTCCAATAGTGTATAATATATACATTGCTACTGTAATTTAGGCCATACAGTTTGCTACCAATTGTCCTCTTTTTTTCCATCCCATTATAGACTTCTCCAGAGAGCTAGGTCTTTGCCTAATGGGTCCAGATCTGTGTTTCTAGCTTCTAGTTATATTGTCCTGCATGGCAACATCAGCAACTAATCACCTCAAAGGCTTTAATCTACCCACATCATAAACATGTGGTCCTCAGCTCTTCCTCAAGGTGTTGAATCCATCTGACCTGAGGAGCCCATCATATGGTACTACATTGCCAATCACTTTACAGCACATCTTTCCATGTGGTTTTCTTGGTAAATTAGAGTAGTAGTTTACCGTCACCTTTCCCTGCACCGTATGAAATGATGCCTTTGCCATCACCACTAAAGTGACTGTCCATTTATAGCATCTTTCTCTATTGTGACTGCGAATATAAGAGTCTGCTTGCTTTTGCTTGGCAGCTGGGATTACTTCTATGCCTTAAGGGATCCTGTTGGGATTCCCTCCCAGGAATGTCTCTTCATGATGAAGCAACACAGCAGGACCTGGGAAAGAGGAAGGCTCTTACTACGACAGTTTAATACAGTAAGCCAAAAATGCCAAGGTAGCTCTGTTGGCTATTAAAAACACATCAATGATAAGAAAAAATACCTACAGGCAAACTTAATGTTGTAAAGTAGTGTAATCAAGACTTCCAAATCATGCAAAATGGCAAGTAATATAAAACTGGTATTACTCTGCATTTCACTGCCCTCCAGGGTAAGATCTGCCCCTAACATCCTATCCTTCAGTAAGAGCCGAAAGACCTGGCTCTATAAATTGGCCTCCCCGATGGAGAAGTTCAACACTGGAGGTGGCTGTTAGATTGGCGGCAGATTCCCCCTCCCCTCTCTGCTCTCCACATGCCCATCTTTTTTACAGAAGGAAAGACAAGAAACAATGGATGGAAATTAATCAAGGAGAGAAGCAACCAGGAATTAAGGAGAAACTGCCTAACCGTGAGGACAATTAACCAGTGGAACAATTTGCCTCCAGATGTTGTGGGTGCTTCATCACTCGAGGTTTTTAAGAGACTGGACAGCCACTTGTCTGAAATGGTATAGGGCAGGGGTAGGCAACCTTGGCTCTTTTATGACTTGTGGACTTCAACTCCCAGAATTCCTGAGCCAGCCATGCTGTCTCAGGAATTGTGGGAGTTGAAGTCCACGAGTCATAAAAGAGCCAAGGTTGCCTACCCCTGGTATAGGGTCTCCTGCTTAAGCAGGGGGTTGGATTACAGTGTTTCTCAACCTTGACAATTTTAAGGCATGTGGACTTCAACTCCCAGAATTCCACAGCCAGCATTGCTGGCTGTGGAATTCTGGGAGTTGAAGTCCACATGCCTTAAAATTGTCAAGGTTGAGAAACACTGGATTAGAAGATCTCCAAGGTCCCTTCCAGCTCTATTCTTATTAAGATGTGTTTTCTTTTTTCTAGTTCAGGGGTAAGCAACCTTGGCTCTTTTATGACTCGTGGACTTCAACTCCCAGAATTCCTGAGACAGCCATGCTGGCCCAGGAATTCTGGGAGTTGAAGTCCACGAGTCATAAAAGAGCCAAGGTTGCCTACCCCTGTCCTAGTTTATTATATATATATTACTTTCGCTTTGTTTAAACATTTTATTTCTTCGTCATTATGGTTGTGAGCCGGCTAGATTAGCCAGGGATGAGATAGGCGGCGCAATTTAATATTTGTTTATTTATTAAATTTATTGGCCGTCCATCTTCCCACAGGTAATAATAATAATTTAGGTCTCCCACGAAGATAGTGGGAAAGAAGAAAGCAGACAGCAGTCGCGGTCCGTTTGGAGGCTATACGGTTCAGTTGCCTTCAGCCTCACGCAAAAGCTTGCACAGAATTTTACAGTGTTTCTCAACCTTGACCATTTTAAGGCATGTGGACTTCAACTCCCAGAATTCCACAGCCAGCAATGCTGGCTGTGGAATTCTGGGAGTTGAAGTCCACATGCCTTAAAATGGTCAAGGTTGAGAAACACTGAGCTAGTAATACAACAAGAGAGGCCCTGGATAAGAGATTGTCATCGACAGCGACTACAATTCGCAGACCAAACAGCTTCCGGGGCGCTCGCGCGTTTCGCCTCCCTTCAGCAAAGCGCGTTTCTATAGCAACCCTAAGCGGCCAATGAAAAGCTCCCCTGCCCCTTTTAGAGGCGGTGTAGACGTTATCTTTGAGTGACGGGGGAGTTGTGGCGTTTCGACGAAGTCGTCGCCGAGCTCCTCTCTAGGATTGGCTTTCAAGGACGAAGGCTTCCTGGGTCACGGGTTGCTTTTCGTGCACCGGGCGGGGGAATCTCCGAGTCCCGCTGTTGCCGCGCGTCTGCCGGGCGAAAGGGGAAGTTCTTCCAGGCTTAGTTTATAGGTGGACCGATCCAGGTGAGAGAGGTTCTGATCTAGGCTGTTGGGGGTGATAGAGACGAAACAGTCGTTCGTTCGGCCGCTAACGTCTGTTGATTGGTTGCCATGGATACCGACTACAGTACAGTCCTCGCCCTTTCTCGGGCGCGTTTTCTTTCGTTTTTTACTTATTTCCTCAACAATTGTGGCCGATGAGTTTGAGAAATGCAGCCGATTATTTACGAGACAGAAAATGGTAGCGGGTTTTGAGGCCATGGGTGGCGGGTGGGTTGAAATTCCAGTGTGATTAAGGCAGATGAACAAGACACTGAGTTTTACTACATGGCAGAATCTGTTTGGAAATAGATTTTACAACTCGGTCCTATCAAAGAATTCTGTAACAATATTCATTTGCTAAATGTTATACTGCTTTTGTGTGGAAAGCACTAGGGCAGTGTTTCTCAACCTTGACAATTTTAAGGCATGTGGACTTCAACTCCCAGAATTCCACAGCCAGCAATGCTGGCTGTGGAATTCTGGGAGTTGAAGTCCACATGCCTTAAAATGGTCAAGGTTGAGAAACACTGCGCTAGGGTGCTGAGGAGGAAAGAATTCATACCTCTTTGAGCTAGATTCGGTGTTCATATTGAAACATTAAAACATTTTACTTCAGCTTTATTTTTTAAGTCCTTTGTACAGTTTCTAGTTACGTAATTATTTTTTATATTTTTTTAATTTAATATAGTTTTATGTTGTAGATCTCTCGTGACGATTTGCAAATCACAAATAATGTCAGATTTACATCTGACATCTCAATACTTCTCAACACTCATTATTATTATTATTATTCATAGGAGGTCACCAAAGATAAATGCATTTTGTGAGTTTTCTTCAAGTGCAGTTTTTGGGGGACAAAAATGAGCTCTTTAATGCACTATAAGGTTAATTTGTCAATCTTAACCTGCTTAAAGCTTTAAAAGTTAAAGTCAGTGCTTTAAAATGGCTTGAAATGCACCAAATGCCAATGTAGCTATTATAAAATAATGGTAAAAGTGGCATAAAAGTACTTTAATGCCTACGTTTTACACCTTACTATCTTTAAACATACCGTAAATACTGTACTCAATCCTCAGTATCAGTACTGAAAACTGAAAGTAACTTCAGTTTTTACCTAAGTATTGCAGCAACTGCACCTATTTAGAAAGCACTCTTACTCATTATTATCACCTGATCTATCCTGGGGATCACTTTTGCTGTGGCTCAGTCTGGTTAAAAGGAAAAGAAAGAAAAGAGAAAGCGCACGTTTCTAATATGTTTAATTTCACAATGCTTGTGGGTATACAATATTTTTTGTTGTTCCATTGTCTGTGCATCAATTCCAGCGCAATGTCACACGAAATAATGAAATCAAAATGAAAATAAATCGAAATCTATGAAAATTCAATTTAACAATGCAATCGGAAACATTGAAATGGAATCGTAAAATTGGAAATTTGGAAATCGTAAATGGATCGTAAATCGGAAACATTGAAATGGAATGGTAAAATCATAGCGTGTGTTGCTTTTATGTCCGTCAGATGGCGCTGTTTTTCAAAAAAAGCATGTTTTTACCTGTCACGGGTGTGACATCTATATAATATAGGTATATAAAAACACGTGCGTATTCGAATGCAACGTTGTGTCAAAATTTCAAAGCAATCAGTGAAGAACTTTTGGAGATTTAAGATTTTGAACAAACGAACATTTACATTTTTATTTATATAGATTATGTTTAATAACAATTCAAGCATTCAATGGCCTGTCTGAGATCAAGCAATGGTAATTAGAGGGTGAGTTGATTATAATCTGAGGGGTCCTTGGTGCTCTCTGAGCTGGGTTGTTTTCTTGCAGAGGTTTCATTACAGAAACTTAAGTAACATCATCACTACTAATGATGTTACCTAGTTTGGGTAATGAAACCTTTGCAAGAAAACAGCCCAGCTCAGAGAGCACCAAGGACCCCTTATTTTAACCTTGAGCTATAAATATTCTCCTTTATTGATTATAATCTGTAAATTGATATGTCTTGATACAAGTTCTAGATAATTCTGTGCCTTTATGTAGATCTTGGGAACTCTAGAGAATAATGCAGAATTTTATAGTACCACATGGAACTCTCCATGGAATGGAAAATAGTTAATCTTCTAAGACAATGCCAAGAAGGACTGTTATGCTATACCTTCTAACCTCGATCCAAAACATTGCACCAATTGTTGATATATCAAAAGCTGCTGCAAGGTTCAGGGCTATCAAAGTTGTATTCTGGGAGGCAGGGATTGTGCTGTGACATCTTGGTGGTGATGGGAAAGAGAGATATACTGTAGTAGCGACCTGGGGCTGCCTTTCTCAGAGAATATGGCATCTGTTTTTAGTGCCAATATCATATTACAGTTTCTTGGTCTTTGTCCCATTGACCAGTCATCATAGCCAAGGAGGCCCTGATACCCAACTGTTGCTTCTCAGTGCCAAGTTCTCTGTAATAAAACCTTAAGTCATCTGTGATTTAATCTTGGATGAAAAGGCCTGCCTAGTATGCATTACCAAGATCTGGTTTGAAACAGAATCAGGGTGAGTGATAACCCTCTCAGAAATGTTCTAGTAGAAAATTCCCCCCCCCCAAAAAAAGTGTCTGTTTAAAGCTGAGGCCAGGATACCATTATATTAAAGCAGAATGATTTTATCGAACAAAGCACAGATGGGATGGGGGTTGCAGAACATCTTAAAAGTGTAGGCAAATGAATCTCTCTATTGGATTGGCCTGTTTTCTAATTATAGTATGTTATTTACGTTATTGATTATTATCATTATACTTTGACAAAATTACCACTGTTGATTGGTTTGGTTAATGTGTATTTTAATATTTACAGGGGAAGATCAATGAGATCACCTTTTCCTGCATAATGGCAGCCTTTAATAAGCAATAAGCCTTCATCATATATCTTAAATTAGTTAGATGCCCTAGCCATTACCTAGAACACGGGTGTCAAACTTGCCGTGTCACATGACGTGTCGCGATGTAGCGCTATTTTTTGCATTGCCAGAGCTGGGGTGGACGCGGCCTCCATATGATGCAGCCGGCCTGTGGACCGGCAGTTTGACACCCCTGATCTAGAATATCTTGCTTACCAGCACTAGCTGCTAAGAATTATCAGACATGTTAGTATACTTCCCAAAACTAACTCATATTCTTGCAGTTAACACTTTCACTTATCTTGTTGGCACCTTGTTAACTTTAAGCACAGCTAGGAATTCCAGGCTCCACTTCACTTTTCTCAGCAATACTGGGATGGTAAAGAATAGAATTATTAATTTTACTCTAAAGACTCTTTAATAAATAAAATTGGGGTTTCTCTAGAAATTGGCCTCAAATTGTACATTAGTGTCCAACTGGGTTTTGTATCTGGCATCAGCTACAACCCCAGCACAGAGGCAGGAGGTAGATTTTGTCATCCAGGTCAGGAGACCTTTTGACATTTGATATTCCACAGATCATTAGATGTGTGATCCTGTTGGTGAAATGTGTGTTCTAGGATTAGATGCTGTCGCCACCTTGCTACGTAACTGCTTTTCTATCCAAGCTGCTGGATGACGTTTCCAGGTTGGCAGTGTAGTTTCCAAGGCTTATAGTTCTGTGGGTCCTCAATCTTTCTTCACTAGGCAGAGAGTCAGAAACAGCTTGGGGAGTTTCATGGCTACCATGGCAGCAACAGACCTGACCTAGGTTATTGAAGGTTATTTTTTTTTTGTCTAGGTGCAATGGTAACATGATCTAGAGCTGGGAGATGATGATTGTACTCCCTTTTCATGGACAGATCATTCCCTGCTATTCCCTTGCATGGAGAAAGAACTTGTTGGATCAGAACCTGTTGTGCCATAGGGATCTGATGGACCTGATAGGAACTTGGACTTATCTCTGAAGTTCTGGTGCAAAGTTCCACTGAGAGCTTAAGTGTTGCCTGACATGGGTACAGGATGGCAGCCTTGGATCAGATTGTGCCTGTTCAAAGTCTTTTGGCTTCTGAGTGCAGTGACAAAAGGACAGGGTTATTTGCAGAACTGTCTTTTCTCAGTTGTTTGTTCTCATCACCAAAGGTGGGTATGCTTAAGGTCCCATTTCTAAAGCAGTGCCATCTAATGGGATCTAGGAGATGCGACTTCTCTGTTGCTGCACATGCCTTTTTGGTTTAAGTTCCCTTCCCCCACATGTTGAGCCAGAATGGGAAATGAGCCTATTTTGTGATATTAATGTGCATCATTGCCACCAGCCTCGATTCTGTGTTGTTTGGATATTGCTTTTTTGCTTTCCTGTGTTGGTTTTTTTTGGATCTTGATTTTTTTTTATAATTATTCTTGTATCAATGAGTACTAGATTATACATAATAGAAACTGTAGGGCAGTGGTGGCGAACCTATGGCACGGGTGCCAGAGGCGGCACTCGGAGCCCTCTCTGTGGGCACACGCACCGTCTCCCCAGCCCCGCTTCCCACGGCTCCCTCCTCACCAGCAGCCCCCCCGGAGGAGAGTTGCCCCTGGGCGTGGCCCACACGAAGCAGCGGAGCCAAGGACATGGTAGCCGGGCAGCGGGGACAAGACTCCGCCCTTGCGCCCCAACTCTCCTGCAGGGCACGGGCAGAGGGCATGACCGCCATGGCGCTGCTGGGCTGCCCGGGTGATTTGTGGCGGGCCGTGGAGGTGGTAGGTGGGCATGGTGAAGCGGGGATGGGGTGGGGAGGCAGTTTTTGGGCACTCGGTCTCTAAAAGGTTCGCCATCACTGCTGTAGGGTTTCAACGGTTTACTTATTGTTGCTTCTTTTAACGAAGTGAAACCACACCACCCCTCAGGGGAAACATGATCGTTCCCTCTACGGATATAAATTTCAGACCGCCAAGGCTAGAAGAAATTCATGATTAATATTTACCATGCACTTTCTTTGTGTTTCTGCTTTAACAGAAATGGTTCTGCTTCATGTGAAGCATGGAGATGAGAGCCAATTTCTCCTGGAAACAACAGGTAACGTTTCCGTTGAAGACTTAACGCAGGAAGTGACCAGGATCTACAATGGAAGACTCAAAATTCAACGTCTTTGCGCAGGTATTAAATATGTCAATCTATTATTTTGTCCTTTTACCTAAACCTCTTAGGTAAAAATATAACAAATAATTTAATACTAATAATTATATAAATAATTACTACAATATATAAACATAAATAATAACAATAATAAATGAAACATATAATAAATATAATATATAATTATTTATTATCATTATGTTTATTATAATTTAATAATTATTAAATGTATTTATCTGCCCCATTCCCAACTCTGGGCTGTTCTGAATCTTCTTTTTGCTTACTCTTTATAGCCCATATACTAAATTCATGTCACAGGTGAATTGTCTGAATATTGGAAACTACTCAACCAATTCTGCTGGTTGTACATTTTTCTAAAGTTTTTCTACATGGATTACTATTGTGGTACATTTTGTGCTTTCTTTCAGTCTGTTATTAACTCTTTTTCTAAATATACCTTTTAGCAATATTTACAATATACCCAAATATGAAAGAATTATAACCTTTTAAGTATGACTATGTACTCTGAGAAATTTGTAATATATTCTAATAGCATCAAATAAATTGCAGAATTTGTTATATTGCTACAATGGAACTTTCTTTTAACAATTTCTCAAAAATAGATGGTTAAAGGACATTTTATTTAACATCTCCATGTCCCACTCTTTGTTCTTTTGAAAGAAATGGAATCGCTGGCCGAACACGGTATTTTCTTACCTCCTAACATGCAAGGTCTGACAGATGAACAAATTGAAGAGCTGAAGCTGACAGATGAATGGGCAAAAAAATGTATCCCCAGTGGTGGAAGCACATTTAAAAAAGATGACATTGGACGAAGAAATGGTCATGGTAAATAAATAAATATACATACATACATACATACATACATACATACATACATACATACATACAGTACATACATACATATGAAACATATATTGGCATATTGTACACTTTCAAATTTTGATGAATAAATATCAATAATAGATACAACATTGTGTGCCCTGTATGCAAAAATGTTCAGCCAGCAACACAACTTAAAACATGTTTCTAAAATTCAGTATTAAAAAGAAAGGAAAATGCTCTTTAGACTTTTGACACTGCATTTGTGAGTGCAATTTAAGGTTCTGGTATTAAACGTTAAATCCCTTCATGCCTTGGCACCTGAGTATCTTCAGGGCAATCTTCTCCCAAGTACCTTTTAGATCTTACAGGCAACAGCTGCTAATGATTCCATACTTTTAAGCTCTAGAGGAGCTCGAACTGGGTGGCACTGCTTCTCTCTAGCAATGTGGTTGTTTTGGAGTGGCCTCCCCTTAGAGATCAGACTCGCCCTCTCCCTCCTGGCCTTTTAGAAGCTATAAAATAATTAAAAGCCCAATTATTCTAGAGGGCATTTTCATGATTTTACTGACTTAATAATATTGCACCATTTTTATTATTCCATTCTTTTATTTATTGCCATGTCAGTATTCCACAAAGATATTTCAATTGTCTTTTTCCCATTTCCACTAATCCCGGAGCCTATGTTTTAGTGAGGTAGACGAGCCATAAGATTCTAAGATACAGTGGGTGTTGCGTGTGTCCCTCTCATCCCTCACCAGTCATTTGCCATCTTTCTCCTTTTTCTCCCATCCTAACAATTCAGAGAAGGTGATAATAACCAATTGACTCCCTTCATTGAAAAGGGACAGCCCTGATCTCCTTTGCAAAGAGTCAGTGACTCATTGCTTTTATATCGGTGCTTCTCTGTGGAAAAAGGAGGAATGTGACACTTCATAAGCATTCTTGTTAATAACAAGAGATGATATTAAGCTGCTTGGCATGCTTACTATTAGTCTATTCATTGCTCCCCTTTTCCATCCCTCTTGCCATCTGGGGCTTATGCAGGGCTTTTTTTGTCATAAAATGCCCAGAACGGAGTTCCGGCACCTTTTTTGGATGGAACCTTGTAGGGTAGGCAAGGCGGATTGTATGACATGTGTGAGTTTTGGCACCTTTTTTTTTTTTAAAAAAAAAAAGCACTGGGCTTATGTATGCCTTATTTTGATACCATCCTACAAAGCTTCCAAGATCTGTGCTGTGCTAGGTAAGATGGCATTAACATTACTTTTTCTATTCGATATATCCCACTGCCCACGTATTTCATGAACATGCTATATTGACAAATGCAATGGTTATATGGGGCTAAATTACTCAACAGAGTTAGCTACTGTCTGCATTTTTTTCATTGCTGTGTAAGCTCTCTTTCCTTTGTTTAACCCTTATTCTTTGTTACTTCTGGCTCCAATATCATGCTGTGCTTTTTTTTTTTTTTTTGTAAATTAGGACTAATCCCTGCTGAGATTTATTCCTGAATAGACATGATTTTTTCTGTTTTAACATTCTTGCTCAGAAGCTTTGTTGTTGGCACACTTGGGCCAATTCTACACACTTAAGTTTTCTAATGGGAATAAGCTAAAGCCCCTCTGATCTTTTAAAATTGGATAGAGTTTAAGATAATAGCTGGTTTTTAATCGCAATAGCTGGTTTTTAATTTAGAGGCCCTTTCAATGCAAAATATTATTATTTATATCACTTCCATAGTTATATAATGCTGTATACTATCATCTGCATATTTCTTTTTTAAGCTCCAAATGAGAAAATGAAACAAGTTTTAAAAGCAACCATAGGAGAAGCTAAGGCACTGATTTCTAAGGTAAGATACAATATTGTTGGTGTGAAATATTTATGAGCCAGCATCTCTGTGTTATCAGAGACAACTATTCTTAGGCTGTTCAGAGAATAGCAGGAAGTCTGATTCTAAAACAAACCACTAATTGAAATAAGGTTGTATTTATTTAATGGCAATTCCTTGATTAAATAACCACATCTCTGGCCTCACACCTAATATATTATAAAAAAAAAATTCTAAAGGATCAGATTTCTAATTTATTTATTTAACTGTCTCATAATGTAGATACTGTTTAATCACATAAACTCTAAATAGTTTACTATAATAAAACCCATAATAATAAAAAAGCCAAACCCCCATTAAAATTTGTCACTTCAAACTTAAAAATTAACCAGAATTAAAATCCACCCAAAACAAAAAGGCAGTCCAGTTCTACCCTTTGCACCTGAATACCTACCACAACAGGCCTGTTTTTTTCAGTTTTTCTGATGTGCCAGCAACTTGGGAATGCTGTTTCGTGGAGCTAATACTTGAAAGACAGGCTAATAATAATAGTAATAATAGTAATAATAATAATAATAATAATAATAATAATAATAATAATAATAATAATAATAATAATAATAATAATAATAATAAAGTTGGAAGACACTTTGGAGGTCATCTAGTCCAGCCCCCTTCTCAGGCAGGAAACCCTGTACCATTTCAGACAAATGGCTGTCCAGTCTCTTCTTAAAACAACATCAAGTAACAGCAACATCCAAGTATCATCAAAGGAGAAGACAGATCCTGAAGAGGCGAGGGTCTAATGCAGGGGTGTCAAACTCGCAATGTCACATGACGTGTCGCAACGTATCACGACTTTTTGTCCATTGCTGGTAATGGGGTGGGCATGGTTTCGCCATGACTCATCCGGTCCGCAGGCTGGCAATTTGACACCCCTGTCTAATGTGATGATGATGATGATGATGATGATGATGATGATGGAAGGGACCTTGGAGGTCATGAAGTCCAACCCCCTGCTCAGGCAGGAAATTCTATACCATTTCAGACAAATGACTGTCCAGTCTCTTCTTAAAAACTTCCAGTGTTGGAGCATTCACAGCTTCTGGAGGCAGGTTGTTCCACTGATTAATTGTTCTAACTGTCAGGAAATTTCTCCTTAGTTCTAGGTTGCTTCTCTCCTTGATTAGTTTCCATCCGTTGCTTCTTGTCCTGCCTTCAGGTGCTTTGGAGAATAGCTTGACTCACTCGTCTTTGTGGCAACCCCTGAGATATTGGGACACTGCTATCATGTCCCCCCTCGTCCTTCTCTTCATTAGACTAGACATACCCAATTCCAGCAGCCATTCCTTATATGAAAATCGGAGGTCAGGGGATTAGTAGAAACAACGAGAAGAGACATGAGAAAGATCTCAGAGTTGTAGAAAAAATGTAGCACCACTGGTTTTGACCTACGTCATAAGGTTCACACCGGAATGGTTCCGTAACATTTCACCATAATTATGAAGTGCACTAGAAGATTCTATCCCTCTGTTAATGCAGCCTAGCACTGTGTTAGCATTTTTGGCAGCTGCAGCACACTGCTGGCTCATATTTAAGTGATTGTCCACTAGGACTCTGAGATCCCTCTCACAGTTGCTACTATTGAGCAAGATACCACCTATACTATACCTGTCCATTTGGTTTTTCTTGCCTAAATGTAGAACCTTTCTTTTTTCATCATTGAATTTCATTTTGTTAGATAGCGCCAACAAATAGATGCCATAGATAGTTCAAAAGAAACCTGATAGATTTGAACACTGGATGCTATCCAACAAATATTATGCAGTGATAAATGTAAATTTCAACACTTAGATAGGAAAAATCAGGTGCATAGGTACAAGATAGGTAGTCCCTGCTTTGGCAGTAGTACTTAGGGAAGAATCTGAGAGTTCTGGTAGATTAGAAATTAAGTATGACCCAGCAGTGTGCTTTAACTCTCCAAAGAAACAATACTTAAAGGTATTGGCAAATAATACAACCATTGTAGCACAAGTATCATGCTGCTATTCCTGACAGTAGCCAGGCTGCTACATTAACCAACTGCAATGTCCAAATCATCTTAAAGGTGGTCCCATGTTAAGTCTGTAGTCTAACTGGTGATAATAACATGAATCGCTATCAAAAAGGATTGCAGCTGACACACTAGTTAAAGCTAGGAAAAGATTCATCTTGCCACCATCTCTACCTAATGCTAAAATGGCAGTTTTGACCTCTTCTGGGACCTCCAGCTTAGCCCAGCCAGTGATTTATACCTCAGCCATGCTGACAAATGAGCTTAACATGGAGGAGAGAGAGCTCCATCCTGTACTACACTAACAGAACCAATAGTCCAAGTGGGCCATTCTTATGTCTATCAGAAGGAACGACCTACTTAGGAAGTGGAGGAAAATAATATCCCTGATTTCCAATCCCTGCAGACAGTCCCAAAGGGTATCTGTGATCAAACATTGTCAAGTGATTTAGTAGGACAAGGAGGGATGTACTAACTCCCCAAGTCTTGATGCAGTTCATTTACCAGTGACCAATGTAGACTTGGTCCCATGCCCAGTTTTGAATCCTGACTGTAGATGATTCCAATAATCTAATCCAAGGATTTCCTTTAGCTGAAGCGCCAACAACTCATTCCATAGTGAATATTGTAGTAAGTGAAAGGTTAAATTTAATTTGGTTCATAACTAAGTTTAGTTGTGCATAATGGTTGGATTCTACTGTCCAAAGAAAGGTTATTAATTCCTGCATACTTAAGACATGGAAATTATTTTGGAATAATTGCAAAAGAAAATATGCCTGCAATTATTATAGCTTACAATAGCCCTCCATTAATTTGGCTTTTTGTTGTTGCCCAAGTAGAGTAATCAGTAAGTACACATTTATAAGTATATAAATATTTATATAATTTACATAATGCATATGAAGTCCCTTTGGACAGATGTATTTTAATTGAAATTGTATTACTACAAATATAAAAGGGCAGAGTAAGGGCAGATTTTTTTTTGAAGTAGATTAGGTGTGTAGAGCAATGGGAGAAATGTTTAATCCCCATAATTTTTTTCAAAAAATATCTAAACATCAAGAGATAAAATAATGTTTCATGTCTACAAGGAATCCTCCTTCTTGCTTCCTATTCATATTTGAAATAATTATTTCAGTAAATCAATAACCATTAATTTCATTAGAAAAAACAAGCAGATGTCAATTTTAGCAGACATTTTAAAATGTTTAATATTATTAATTCTGAATAGATGATAAATTGGTAGTAGATAATGCTAGTGGACAGAGAAATGTTATTCTAAAAATGGGGAACATATTTTTTGTTATTTGACTTTATCTCATACTGTGCTGTCATTGTAGATTTCAGAGGAAGCATTCTTTCTTCCGTAGTGTATTAGTTTATTCATTTAAGTTGCTTCTCTCTGTATTGTAGGAACAAGTGGAAGCCAATGTATGCGTTACTACCAGTATGGTGAAAGATGCACTCGACCAGCTCCGAGGAGCTGTAATGATTGTTTATCCAATGGGGCTCCCTCCATATGACCCAATTAGAATGGAGTTTGAAAATAAAGAAGATCTGTCAGGAACTCAAGTAAGCATTAGTTTTGATTTAATGATTTTTATTTTTTTTTAAAAAAAATATTGTTCTTCTTAGAGAGATGTTTGTAAAATGTAATCGATTCATTATCTACATGTTTATTTGGTTTCTAGACTGCTGTACCGTATATACATTTTTTACATAGTGTTATATATTTACACTAAAAAAGTCATTTTTCCCTTGTTATTTTTTCATTGCAAGAAAATAAATTCCCCTTCTGTTACCTCTGCTTGGTAACTGGAATTGTTGAAAAAAAATACATCTTAAAAAATGTTATGTATTAGACTTAGAAATCAATGATAATGCTGAAGATTTTATTGAAAAAAAACTGATGATGGAGTATGCCACCCCTCATCACTATTAAATCTAAGCATTTTTAAGTCCTTATATTTCCTTCATTAAGTGTTAGTTAACTGATCAGCCAAAATCACTTCACTGCTGTTCCCACCATTCTGCAAAAAGAACATTTATATGTTCTGATGTGTCTCTCTCTCTCTGTATGTGAGTGTGTGTGTGTGTGTGTGTGTGTGTGTGTGTGTTACTGGTGATTTTTAATAACTAAATGGTAGATGAGCAATTCTCTTTTTGAGATCTCTTATATAGATCTCAACAATGTTCTAAGGAATCTTTTAACCATTCAGAGCAGATTTAAAGGCTACAGAGAATAGTACAAGGAAGGGAAGGAAGAAGGTCTGGGGTGTGAGTAGATTTCTGCTTGTGTGCCATTGGATTCTGCCTGTTGTAAAGCTCAGTTTGTTACAGGCAGCCCTTGAGGTTATTGAAGAACCAGAGGCCCAGCTGTGGTGGGCAGCAAAGGAACTCAAAAGAACAAACCAGCTTTCTGACTATGTTGGCAAAAATGAGAAAACTAAAATTATCATCAAAATACAAAAAGTAAGTACTTGTGACTTAAGAGTAAAGTGAGAGTCTTTATACAGGTTTACACTCACCCAAAGCAATATTTTGTCAGATTTATTACGTTTTAGATTTTATTAGATTTTATATTATTTATCTTCATACAGGTAAGCATGCTGTTCAAAAGCAAGGCAGACCTCATTTACTGGTGTAAAAATGATTGTGGGATAATCATACTTCTGCACTAAAAACAATATTATGGCAAGCTGTCCCTCTGCTCCAGTTTGAAGGTAGCCAAATTTAGCTGCTGAGTGTCTCACAGTACAGAGAAACTTGCCTTTGTAAAGCAGAAGTAGAGAACATGATTCATTCCACGTGTGGCTGAATTACAGCCTCTAACATTCTTCATCATTCATCACAAAGACATTGCGATTCAATATCTGGAATTATGTGTTGTCTATTCCTGCTGTAGAGGGACTAATGTCTGCCCCTCCTGACATTTTATTCATCATATCAATAGGTATTCCATTGTCAGAATAAGGCAGGTTGAAATATATTAATTTCTGTTATGTTTCAAGAAAGGGCAAGGAGCTCCAGCACGTGAACCTGTCATAAGTGGTGAGGAACATAAACAGATGATTCTTTTTTATCACAGAAGACAAGAAGAACTCAAGGTATCAGGTGTTGTTGCCGTGTTACTCTATTGAAAACAAGATATTTACATTTTGTTTGCAATATATATATATAATTCATTTTCTTTTCATGTTTTTCAGAAATTAGAAGAAAATGATGATGATTCATTTTTAGATTCTGAATGGGCTGATAGTCATGCCTTGAAAAGACATTTTCATGGTGTCAAGGATATTAAGTGGAGACCAAGATAAGTTATTTTGGCAAGAAAAAATATTTTTAAGATAAAACTAACACAGCAAGTTACATAGGTAACATCAATGCACATTTACTCATTAAAACTAAATATTAGATTTTTATTTATTTATAATGTTGATTGCCTTGTAGTCAATAAATCTATATTATTAGGATTGTTGCTCGTATTTTCTTAAAAAATACTGACATGCTCTCATATTATTACTAAAAACTATTATTAAAAACAATAAAATTGTCCCTCTCCTTACATTTTTGCATTCTAAATAAAATTATTCAAATTAGTATGGCTTAGCTTAGAAGGAACTGAGTTTATTTTTAAGAACAGGGAAACTCAAACTTTGTGAAGGAAAAAATATTATATACTAGGTAAGTTTCCAGAAAACATTACGCCTTACCAATACTGGTTTAGAATATATATAAGGAATATCAGACAATCTAGTTGGGAAGATACAATCCTTTAATAGTGCAAGTAGAAGAATCTGACTACACTGTGCCATGTTTGAATGATACAGTTTCTGCTCATGTTCAGCCTGCAATTTGTTCTAAGTATACAAGGCGTGTTTAGAAAAGATGATATAAATTAATTTTCAGATTAGATAACTGAGCAGAAACAGCACTGAAATATCTAAAACAATCACATAAGGGAATTTATCTTCTAGAGGCAATAGTAGAATTTGAAAGGGGATTTATTTTCATTTCCAATGTTCACTTTTAATAGCAGTCCTATTGAAAATTTTTATTGCCTATTTATAAATACAAGATTTTTGAATCAAATGAAGCCCACAGCCTATAATTGAATACTGCGTAATGGTTGGAGGTTACCAATTAGTTAATCTAGTTCAACTTCCTGCTCAGTGCAGCAATCCATTACACCAGACATGTCAAACGTATTGGAGCTTTTTCCCCATTGCCGGCAATGGGGTGGGCGCAGTTTTCTTGTGATGCGTCCGGCCAGCGGGCTGGCACTTTGACACCCCTGCATTACACCATCCTGTTTGAAAACTTTTAAATACATTGTATTTCGTCCTCTGTTTATGAAAACAATGGTTTTTATTCTCCCTGAGAATATAACATCCAGCAGATAACTAATCTCTTGAAATTGTAAAATTTATGAAGAGTCACTGAAGGAAAATAATTTGACTATTAACTTTCCTTCAGTAACTTTTCATAATTTTCATAGTGCTTTGAATCCTTAAAGATGTATTTTTAAAAGATATCTTTATTAGATTTTTTAGTAGAGATAAAAACTAAGAAAAACATCTAAAGATAGAAAAAAGTAAAGAATGAAAGAACAATGCCAAAATTGCAGAAAGATAAAGAAATACAAAAAATGACTTTCTGTTTTCTTTTACAACAGATATAAGTATAAATTTATATTAAACTCATATTCTGTTTCACACAAAAAGTCCAAAAGGGTTTTCCAGTCAGCATTAATTTAATGTCTTTTCTCTAATGAAAGCTGTTAATTTTGCGATTTCAGTCCGCCATTCATTCTTCCATTATCGAATCTTTTCATTGTACATACAATTTTTTCACTAATGATTCAATCTCCTTAAAAGGTATTTTAAGGAGCGGAATATTTTGCTTGTCCTCTTGCATTATTTTCTTGAATTAAATGAATAATAGTGGCATTGGTCAGCTCCATTGGTTATGGGTGAAGCACATTCCTTATATCATCTTGTATGTATGAGAAAATACCTATCTATGCAGATCTGCCTACTCATGTACTTGTTCAAGTGGACATTTATATTTTTCTTAATTAAGACATAGACAAAACGGCCAAATATATTTGGATGCATTGCAGTCACTTGTTAAATACTGTATCCACTGTTGAAGTGCTCTCCACTGATCTGTCTAGAAATGTTTATGTTGTGAGCCACAACGCAGTTCATAGCTCTGTAAATACTGAGTTATGATGAAGAGGATTTCAGTGTTTCAGGAAATCAAGCCTCAGGCAGTTTGAGGACTGGAAAAAAGCCCAGACATTTAAATAGGGGACAAAAAACAATGAAGAATAAAGAAGAAGGATAAGTAGAGAATGAAGACAAAAATATTTTGAAAAGTGCATGGAGATAACTAATTTAAAAGGAGATTCCAAAGAAAATATATCTGAATTAAGACAAGGGGGTCTCTATCGAAGTGAGAGAACAAGGAGCGATAGGGAATGCCAGAGTGGCTGATCCAGAGATGAAGTAACTAAAGGAAATGGGTGTTAGCTTTTGCAATATTTCTAAAAATGGGGACCTCCACTTATCACTTGGAGAGCCAAATAGACAAAAAAATACTATCAGCAAGTTATATTTCGCGGAAATCTTTCAAATCGTGTATCTACTGTTACATATAATTGAGAAAAAAATTATCGTGTCTCTTTTGACCACTTTTTTTTCTAAAGAAACCAGATTATGTGAGATTGTGAAGTAACATTTCAAACATTCACAAACAATGTTTATTAAATAAAAGGAAATTAAGGGTACCTCTGAATCCCTTTTCACATTTAAGAAGTGAATTATGCTTCATGGAGATATATTGGTAGCCATTAGATTGCTACTGTGTTTCCCCCAAAATAAGACCCGGTCTTATATTGTTTTTTGCACCAAAAGACACATTAGGGCTTATTTTCAGAGAAACACAGTATCAGGGTGATCAGCCTGGCCTGGTGCCCCACCCCCCCAGCACGCGCACAAGAGGCAACAAGCACATGGGCCAAAGGAGTCCGACAGCAGCTACAGCCCGCCGGCTCTTTGGCACAACACAGGTATATCCGAACGCAGAGACAGAGGGGGGGGGAGGCAGGTGATCCAGACGTGATATGTGGCTGCCTGGCTCGCGGGAGGTTCTTGTGACAGCCCCGGCAGCAGTTGAAGGCAGAGGCACAGGGGAGAAGCCGGCAATCCAGACGTGCTGTGCAGCTGGCTGGCTCGCGGGAGGCTCACGTGGTGGCACCGGCAAAAGGCGAAGGCAGAGATGGGGGGAGGCAGGCAAACCTATGTGCTGCATGGCCACCTGGCTCATGGGAGGCTTGTGGGAGCGGCACCGGCAGCAGGCAGAACCAGAGGCACAGGGGAGGCAGGCAATCCCTCTGCACCACGCGGCCACCTGCCCCAGCACAACTGCGGGCAAGCCGAAAGATGGTGGGATGGAATGGGTGGTGCATTGGGATTGCCTGCCTCCTCCCTGTGCCAATGTCTCTGCCTGCTGCTGGTGCTGCCGCGCGAGCCTCCTGCAAGCCAGGAGCCACACAGCGCGTCTGGATCGCTTGCCTCCCTGCCGTGTCTCTGCCTCTGCACTCAGACTTTCCTGTGCTGTGCGGGCTACGGCTGCTGTGCCCTCGTGAGCTCGATGTGTCCTGTGCTGGCCATGCCCACCCCCCCAGACTTATTTTTGGGGTAGGGCTTATATTACGAGCATGCTAAAAAAAATAGGCTAGGGCTTGTTTTCGGGGTGGGTCTTATTTTCGGGGAAAACACGGTACCACCTACAGCAGATTATTATTATATACACAACAACATCTTTATTGCATAACAATCACAATCAAACTTGCCTCCTATCTAATTGAAAATAAAAGTAAAGGTGTACCAACTGTTACAATGGACATGCCTGCTTGAATTAATTTAAAAGGAAACCAGGAGGGTAACAGGTGGGCCAATTGGCCTGGATCTCAAAATCTAAGCAACTTCAGATCCAGATACTGGATCGCTTCCTTACAATACTAATATCAGCCTGATAAGAAACTAAGTGACATGCATCATAATCTATGTTATTGCCTTAGGTAATTCACTGAATTTCAAAAATATATTCAAAATAATATTGTATGATTGCTTTGTATAACACATCATATATTGTGCGTATAAGCATACAATCAAACTAAAATTCTAATTATTGCATGCAATAGTGCAAACTTTAGCTCCCCATTCTTAGGAAAAATATAGTTATTTATATATATATATATATTTAAAATCCCATATAAAGAATTCTCGGTCCCCTTGAAGTACTCTTTATCTTTTGCATACTGAATGTGTGTTGAATTACTGCTCCATAAGGATAAGAAATAGCCCAATAACTATAGTGAGAATGTGCTATTGATCCAGACTTCTGAGTGCTTTCTGTTGTCAAGAAAAGATCCACCTGAGGATTTTGTGGCAACTAAATTAGTTCTGATAGTCTGTATTCTCACAATATCGCTGATGTGAGAAATATGAGATTATTTATGACAGCCCAGCTACAGTGTAGTTGATACTAGGTTTTGTTTCATTTCGTGATAAGTGGTTCCATTTCGCCACTGAAGGGTTCTCATCTCACATTCCCCAAATGGGAGCGTTTGGTGGATTTTCTGGCCCTCCTTGAAAGGGGAACTGATAAAAACAACAACAGGAAAATCAAGAAACATTTTGTCACTTTCCCCTTGAGCCCCTGCTCGGCCCACTGCAAGTGCCAGACTGAACCTTCCCTTTTGCCTTTCTCATTGCAAATGCATCAGTCTAAACTCTCATAATTCACTAAAATGATTTTAACAGCTGCTGACTTCAAGGATGTGCTGATTTCAAACTTACCTTGTTTATTAGAATCTGAAATCCATCAGCAGAAGCAAGTGTAAAATGACAGTGAGAAGGCAATGCAGAAACCAAAGAAGTCTTGGAGGAAAAAAGCACTTTTCTGCTTCATCCCATAATAAACCATGCATTTGGCTAACTCAAATACGAAAGTATTATGTACTGAGTTGTTGTAAAACAGCCTGTTTATCAGGCAATTTGAAATATTGATAACAAGTCCCTAAATAACAAAATCAGCTTCTTTTATTCTTCTCACCACCACTATTCTGTTACATTTTAGTCCTGTAAGAAGAAAAAGTCTTTTGCTTCCTGCTGCCACAAGTACTGAGAGCCAGACCATCTTGTAGTCAGTGGCTAGGTAATTAAAAAAAATTTAGTTTTTATGTGTACGTTATTAAAAATGAAATCATGAAAACACATGTCATGCACGTACATAGAGACAACAGAATCTGTCCCTGTTTTTCAAAGACGCTTGCTCATTCTTGCTGTACACCGATAAGTACAGCATGTACTGCAGTAAATTTCAGAGGGGGGTGGTGGAATGAGGAAGTTTATAGAAAATTAGGAAACTTGGCACTTCCTATAGAAGTTTTTTTTTTTAAAAAAAGCAAAACCCTTCCAATTGTTTCTTGTCCCAAGATTATGATTTACAGGGGAGCTGGGGAGAATTTAAAGGAAATATAAATTATCAACCAAAGTATGATTAAGTTTTAATTGAAGTGATGACTTTAAGTTAGAGTTTAGTTGAGGATATCTGTATGGGTGTTTACTGACTATAATAGCTTGCATATTTTTGTGTAACATTTTTAACTTAATGAAGAAAATAACTTCTTGCAGCAGGAAAGCATTTCACTAAAAGCATGTAATAAGCTGAGTGGTACTAAACTTTCTTTTCTTTCCAAATAGTTCACTTGGGGGATACAAAATCTGAATGTGTGAATCACATGGTGCTGCTTTTGGCCTGTCCTAATTATGTGCACTACAAGAAGGGAATCTAAGATTACATAGGGTGGCCAAGGGACTCTGGAGATTGTGTTCAAGAAGAAGAGCCAGCCACTCCATCCTTTGGCTTCCCCATACAATGGAAGCTATGTGGTGCTGTCTCAGAAGTGTGCACCATTTCAGAGCAGACACAATTGCAGCTGCTCCAAAATGGTGTCCATTTCTGGGATGGCATGACATGCCCTTCATTGTATAGGGAGGCTGTGGGATGGAGCTGCTATTTCTTCTTCTTGAATATGAGGGCCAGAGATGATGTTCAAGAAGGGGAGCTAGCTGCTCAGTCCCTAAGCCTCCCTGAAGGCCATGTGGCACCATCCCAGAACTGGGCACTGTTTTGCAGCAGCCGCAATTCATTGCAGCTGCTCCCCAAATGGCACCTGTTTCTAAGACTGCGGCATGTTGTCTTATCTATGGATGACTACTTCCCACAGATTTACCAAAAAGGTAAGTGACGGATCCATGATGGAGGTGGGGAGGAGGGTATTAGATACAGTGGGGTAGGAAGCAAGCCCAAGGCCTGGGGGGAGCCAGTGGGACAGGATGGGAGGGTGGTAGGCAGGGGGGAGGTGCTACAGCAAGCCTGCAATCAAATCATAAGGTCAAGCAACTTCAATCAGAGGTAATATGTCCTTTTGATTAGTGGTGTTGTAATTTTGTGCAGTTGCAGAATGAATGATCGTAAGTCAAGGACTACCTATATTGTTATGTACAACACTAGGTACCACACATTAAAAATCTCAACACTTGGGCTTCAATGGCTTTGAACACTACGGGAACAGTATTATAGACATTGCCCCTTCAAATTATGTATCTATGGCATTAGAAGCAGTTTGGGCATGCAGAAATTTGAAGATGATAGAAATACATGCCTAGATACTTAAATGCTTCCATATGCTCAGTTGGATAGCTATCAAATGTCCAAATGTGGTTGAATGCCTTTAGTAATATCACCACCTTGGTTTTTGTGTAATTGAGTTCCAGTAGTTCAGAGTTAACAAAGCAGTGCAAATACATGGATATTGGATCGTGATCCCATTTGGTATACAGAGAGAATAACAGCATCAGCAGCATAACATACATCATCAGCATTTAAAAAAAATAGAATTTTGGTTTGCTAGCTAGAATGAGAGGATAGAATTCTGAAAGGACCTGGATAATATCACTGACGTACAAATTAAATTGGGGGAGGGGACAGTATGCACCTTTGTTTGACTCCTTTAGTGTTTGGGATTGGATCAGTCAATTCTTCATCATTTAAACATTACATCTGCCCTGCATTATCGTAATTCATTACAGAAGGTAGTGATTGATGGAGGAGGTTTCTAGTTTGCACCATCCATGAAAGATTAAATGTTGTTTTCAATTTTATAAATGCAGCATAGAGAAAACCTTTGATGGACTGACATACTTTGTAGACAATTGGCACAGAGTGAGACATTGGTCTACAGTAGAAAAACCTGACCTAAAACCAGTTGTTCCTTGGCTATTTTTTTTTTTCTTGGATTGAGTCGGCAAACTTTGGTAGAGATGTTTTGCATATAGTTTACTGATTTTTTAATAGTAAATTGTTTGGAAGGTAGTTAGCTGGGTTGGTCTTATCACCCTTGTTGTATATTGACATTGTGACAGAGTTGGTCCATTCTTTGGGGATCTGTAGACAGTTGACTGATATGAGCAAATAAGGAAGCTGAAATAATGATCCATCATTCAGGTCTCAATTTTGGGATGATCAGGTCTCTCTGGGAGCTTTGCAACTTGAGTTGAGCAATTGGAAAAAAAAAATTGTATATATTTTCCCAAGGTCCAATTTTTACTTTAAACCCATCAGAATTTTTTTTTTTAAAAAAATCAAAAAGCGCCCCACCCCTGTTACATTTCATGTCACTATATGAACATATAGGGAAAGTTCAGACACTTCTAAATTTCATAAGTAGGAAGTGACATTTTTCCTCCTTTTGTTCTTCAAGCTTCCTGCAGATTGCAATAAAATATAGCACATTTTCAAGACAGGAATACATTTAGATTTGATTAGCTTGAACTAATGGAATATGTCTACAAGCTATTATGAAAAAAAAATCTGCATGGTGATCTTAGCTGTATCAACCTTACCTTTTATGCTCCAAAATTTAGTGCAAATATATGTAGTGCTGTTTTTTTAACATAGGTTCTAATTTTCAAACAATTATAAACCAGTTCAGAGGTAAAATAAATAGGATAAACTGAAGGCCAGCATTCAAAATATGTCAAACTAAAACCTGTTTTAAGGTATTTTAAATAATTATTTATATAGCTTTGTAATAATTATTACATTAAATTGCAGATGATCCTTCACAGAAGGTAGTTTAAGAAAAGAAGTGCATGTTATCCAAAACAAATGCACTGCTGTTCATTGATATAGAATGGGCTGAAGCTTCTGGTAGGAGATGCTTCCAAGCCACTGTTCATCCAGATTTCTTGCATGATCTGTTCTCGCCGCTCTATCCTCTCAGCCAATTCGGCTGCATCCAGGGCACAATAAGCTGTATATGAAGTCCTGCATAACCCTGTTAGTTCATCAGTAAAATCTGAAACAGAAGATTCCTCTCTCTCTTCCTCTTCCTCTTCTTCCTCATCTTCATTGTTTCCATCAGCCTTCTGATTTTCTAGCACCAGATGCTTTTTCATCCTCCGTAGCTTTAACACATCATCGCAGCAAGAAATGTGCATTACCAGAGCACAAAGTGTGAGCATTAGGCCAACACAAACACTAGACACAAACAAGAGAGCAGCTCTTTCAAGGTGATCTGAAATTAGAAACAAAAATCCCAGACTAGAGTCTTATGTAGGGATGGATGGGAGTAATAATAATTTGCTGTCATTTCTGAAAAGCCTAGACTTCTGAGACAATCTTTTAATATTTAAATCTACATAATCCATCAGACCTTGCTAACTTGTTTCTGGCCAGCAATATGGGAATGAAAATGAAGTACAATACCAACATTAAGAAAACTCTTAAGTCAAATATGATTTTAGGTGATGTAAGAGATGGATCTATTTGCAACGTTATGCAAATAGTTTACTATTTTCTTCTTCTGAGATTTTTTTCCCAATTTTGTTGCCTGCAACTCTGATATTTCCCAGTAGATTTCCACCCATGTTTTAAACAGATCCATTTCCCCCCATTTTTCAAGATCAGGAAGATGCTATTATTTAACTCAGCCAATAGCCACCAGTACCAGAAAAAATATGAATTATCTCTTCAAGGATTTTTCCTCTATGGAGTTTAGTAAAGCAAAATAATACTTTAAGCACCTTGTTAACTAGGAGATTATTCACAAAAGAATATAACAGAATAATTCAATGAAGTTTTAAATGACATAAATATTATGTATATTTAATATTTTATACTAATTCTGGAAAAATGTAATTGCTAGCAGTAATAGGATTTCTTATCAGAATACAAAGTACAAGTGTTCTACCTCTAATGTATGCAAATGTAGCCAAACTGCTGCTAATTATAATTCCTTCCTTCTTTGGAATTCTTGATTCTTTTGGATCAAAATTTATATCTGTATGAAAGAAAAAAAAGGTTCCTAAATTAGATTGTAATTGAACTAACTTTCCAAATTGAAAACGAAAGTGTTAAATGAATAATTTAAATATCCTACCACAAACAATTACCTTCTTTAACATCTCCATGTTTCCATGTTGTCTAATAACACATTTTATGAAGCTTTAAAGCAAAATTTATTTTAATTTTCTATTTTACTTTATTATCTAACACAACTCATAAATACAAGAGAATGTTTTTTAAGAAAAGATGTTTGTTGCCTGTTTTCCCTAGGAATTTTTAACACTGCTGATACCAGAAAATTAGTAAGAGGTTTCTTCACACTAAACATGCTCTAAGCCACGGGTGTCAAACTTGCCACATCACGTGACGTGTCACGACGTATCGCGACTCTTTTTGCATTGCCAGCAATGGGGTGGGCACAGCTTCAGTATGATGAAACTGGCACATGGGCCAGCAGTTTGACATCCTTGCTCTAAGCCAGTGATGACAAACCATTTAGAAACTGAGTGCTCAAACTGCAACCCAAAACGCATTTATGTATCATCGAGTGCCGGGTGGGTGTGGCCCATTGGTGGGTGTGGCCAATTGGGTGGGTGTGGCTGCGGTGGTAACGGCAGACTGGGTGGGACTAAAAAGTTCAATCAATCAATTCCAACTTTGCGAGATCTTTTTTTTCCCACAAGAAGTTGAAATTGATTGATTGAACCTTTTTTTTTTTTTGCACACAGCGGCAGAGGCCTAAAGCGAAAAGGTTTTATAAAACCCAACTGAAGGCTTAGGACTGGGGCGACGGCGTGCGTGCCCACAGAGAGGGCTCTGCGTGCCACCTGTGGCACGCGTGCCATAGGTTCGCCACCATGGCTTTAAGCTATGATTCCCACCAACTAGATATGCGAAGAATTATATCTTTAGTCAACTCCTAATAATAAAATGATGATTATTTTATTTACAAGTTCTACAATAAACTTTGTTTATGTGACAAATAACAAAGTCAATGAAGTCAATTGAGTCTTTAGTTTAGATTCAACTTCTTAGCTCTGTCCATTTCTTTGTCATCACTTTTTTTTGAGTGTTGCCTCTGCTACAGCATTCAAAATGAATTGAACATTGGTCCTTCAAGTATCATGAAGAGAGACCCCCTCCTCTTTTAGATAATTAAACCACTCAAATGTTTAAAAGCAAATGTCCATAACAAACAATTAAATTTACCATATTCAACTTCTTTTGGCTTCCAAGAGGGAGGGAGTATGGTAACCATTGGATCAACTGCTGCCAATATGAATCTGGGAACTGTAAAGTTGAAAATTAAAAATGTTATCTGGTGAGTTTAAAACATACGTCCTGCTCCACCTACAGACAATACTGGAAAGTTTGCTAGTAGCTTTTTCCCTTCATGCTTTACATTTGAGAGTTCAGTCAATCAAAAATATTTATAAAGAGAAGTCAACTTCTATACAAATATGTCACTTGCTGAATTGGGGGCTTTTATGCATTGCATTGCTGCTTCACTGCCAATCATAGACTAACTGAAAATATAGACATCTTATGAAATTGCTTCCTGGAATATGAGCCCTTTTTTTGCTTCAGCCATCATGATGGCCAGACCATCTATTATGCCTCCTAACTGATGGATTCCCTTGATTCACCTATTTTGGGGAAACAAGCACCAATGGTTCTTCTTTGTGGATGGGTCTTTGAGAACATGTGATAGGCCTCTCATTTGACCCTTCTTCTTTTGATTCCTATCTTACTGGACATGTTTTCATTGTGTCTATTAGTGGACAGTGAAAGAAACAAATTAATTTTTTCCTCTCACTTCAGCTAAGGATAAGCAGTACAATTCTTGTCAACTTCACTTTGTTAAAAAGAAAGAACCACCACTGCAGGAGAAGAAATAAATAGCTTGTAGGTAGAGAATGACATATATATTCTTGCCCTTAAGAAATGGTCAGTGGCCAAACATGGACTAAGAATGCTGGTTATACAGATTACCCTAGAGGCAAAACTAAGTGCTTCAGAAAAAAATTCATTACAAGAACTTTTGGTGGATCTTAGTTTTTGCTAAAATCATCATCATTATCATGGAATCAAGTCTTATAAAGCTACTTTAAAAAAAGATCCTGGAAACTAAGCACTACCATCAAGTCAAAATTAAATGTCATTTCTATTGGTATAGTAGTTTATAAAATGTATTAAGCCATTTTTCCAGATTAAACTATCGCAATTAGCTATTTATAAAACACATAACCAAACAATACGCTCAACCCAACAAAGCGACACACCTTGAAAGACCTAAAACAAGATCAGGACATTGTTATTTTACCGGCAGACAAAGGCCACTCAATGGTGGTGATGAACCACACAGACTATGAAATGAAGGCATTTGCTCTGCTCAATGATTCCTCAGCACACAGATGAGCAAAGACATCAGAGATGAGAACAATGGTCACCCAACTGAATTCTTATCTCAGCCAACTCAAACAAAACGACTGTATAACGGAGAAGGATTGGTGGAAAATGAGAGGAATGAGATTCTACGGACTCCCCAAGATAGGGAGTCACCCTCAGACCTATTGTAGCACTATGACACCCCTACATATAATCTGACTAAATGGCTGGTGAAAATGGGCTCCAGCACGTCTGAAAGCTCGGAAGACTAAACCTCTGGTCCCAGTGACCGACCCAGATTGGATCCTACAACGTTGTCCTGGAACATGTATATTTGCCTTCATTTAATAATTTAGTACATAAATAATAGTACATATGCGTTAATATTCAATTCAAAATATTAAACAGATTAAGAAATAACTAGTAAAAATAAAAAAATATATAAATATATGTTCCACAGGCACAGTTCACCAAATTAAGGATATGCTTAATCTGCTTTTTTCCAGTCTGTGAGATAGCACAATGTGCCAGCCTAAATTTAATCTCTACTCTGCCTTGTTAATGATGCTGCCTGCATCACACCTGCTTCATGACCTGCCAAAAATAACCCAGGACTTGCACAGACTGAATCTAATCCCTCACCCATCCCTAACACAGGTGCTGCAGAAGTGTAATCTTGTACAGTAGCAAGTTCAATAATCAACAGGCCAAATTCCACAAGGCCTTTTGACTATTACCTGACTACGTTCAAGGTTGATGATCATCCAAGAAGAATCTCCTCAACTGGATCCATCCAAGAAACATAATTAGATTTTTGCCAATGTGTTTTCAAGTCAAATTATATTAATCGTAAAAAAAAAATTTGCATTTCAATTATCATACTTATCTTAGATATTAAAATATGGGAATAATATGATTTTTACATATATGTGTGTGTGTGTGTGTGTGTGTGTGTGTGTGTGTGTGTGTGTGAGAGAGAGAGAGAGAGATGCCCAGGTTTTGAAATGTTGCAGTTTGTAAATTTTATGATTTTCATACTTTTCTTACCACATGCATAGCTGACATTGAGATATTTTTTCACCCCAGGCATGCATGGTCTTCCAAAGTTATGGCTGTTAGCAATAACTTTACACCTTTGTTTCCCATAGCACTTCTTTGACAAGACTTCTAAAGCTGAATAGGAAAAACAATCTAAAAGGAGAAAGAAATATGCACATATATACAAATATGAACAAAAATGATTTATTTGAAGAGATTACTGGTACGTGCTTGCAGAGATATAAATCTGTTGGTGCACGAATAACATTAACTCAGAAAGCTATATAGTAATTGCTTCTGATAAAGCCCAATGATGGCAAGGAAGGAGTGATCATTTGCATAATTCCCACAAATTTGTGGTTGGCTCTATGCAGAGATGGTATAAGAATATATGATCAAGCCAGTTATCACCCAACACACTGGAGAGACAAATAAGAAGAGGTTTTGCTGCGGATTGAATGCACAGACTGAATTAGGGTAAGCCAATTCAGAGCAGCTAAACTTAATTATTAAATACAACAACAGCCCCAACGTAGCCAACTGATTGAAATGTGGCAAAAAAATAAAAATAAATAAAAATAAAGCCAAAACAAGCTCTAACACTCCAAGGTCAATCTTAGGGTCAGAAGAGGAATTTATAGATTCTCTGGAGCAAATATAGCACGCCTGATTTAGAATCATCTAGTTTAAGAACGGAATCATTGCACCTTGGAATTTTCATTCTGATTTTCAATACTTATTTGCATTCATAAGGCAGCTTACAGTAACTAAGAAAATATAACACTAAAATAAAAATAAAAGGTAGTAGAAAACAAAATATCAAAACCACAAAATGCAGATTAAAATTCTAGACATTTTCCTAAACTAAAATAGAATTAATATATTATTCTAATTAATTTAAAATGAAAACATATTTCATTATTGATATATACATGTATGCATGTGCATACATATTACTGTTTATTGCTGGAGAAAAAATACCAATGGATTCTCTATTATTTTTGCTTTAGATCTTTGCTTTATCAATATAAGCATTAAGGCAATGTGTGCCAGTAATTTACTTTAGTTAATAAAGGGGAAAAATGCTTTCAGATATGTGACAATGACACTCCTCTCCTTCTTCTGCTCCATATAAATAAACACACAGAATTATAAAAGCAAAATTGAGGTTTTGCTCTGGAAGATTGAGGAATAGCTTGGAAGATGTATAAATAATTATTTCGAAAGAAGGAGATAAAACTTTAAATTTAGATGCATGTAGATGTGCACTATTGATTCAGATGGTACTTACAGGGACGGGACTGCATATACTGTACATTGGGATACTTCCACACTGTCCTGAAAATGCAAAATATCTCCCTTTTATGCATCTTAAAATGTTGGATTTCCCTGCCTGAAATGAGTAGGCTGCATGTAATTTAGATGAATTCTCCTTTGTTAAGATTGCGATTTCCAATATGATCAAATAATATCCAAATGTAGTGAATTGGTTTAGGATAAGAAATGTACATGCCACGTTTTAAAAACAAAATCAAAGCAGTCCCATTTAAGTTGAAGATAAAGGATGGGAATTACAAACAAAAACAAAAAACTGTGTTTCATGATCACCTCTGGAGGAAGAATACAGTTCATTCTAAACCCTTGCAATCCTTGCCCATCTTTTGCGGTTAGTGGTTAGCAACCAGACAGATGCCAAATAATGCTGATGGATTTTATTTGGTGCACATTTATTCAGCTGGAAATGAAAAGAAGCAACCATCAAAGCAGTTTTGAAGCTAGTAGTAAAACATCAGTCCTGGTCTGAGCTGCTATTTAATAGTCCAGCATCTGTTGTTTTCAAGGGAAAGATCCTTTAAGTCACCAATTAGTTGGGTTTTAGATGGGTTTTGACATGCAAATTATCCAGAGTTGTTGAAGCCATAAATTGCACACAGTTTAATAAAACTGGCAAGTCTTCTTTTCTCTATTGAAAGCCTCTTCTTTTTTCAAGTTCTGGTGTCTCATCTCTACTATACAAAAGCTATCTATTCAGTGGAATAACTACAGCCAATTATAGTGAAATTCAGGCTCCTTGGTACTCCAATGTGTATATTAGTGACCGTATAATACTGGAAGGATATGTGTCAGAAAGAAATATGATCTCAATTATGTTTGGTAAATAGCAGAGTATTAATCAAAGTTCTAAATACTATGGGGTGGGAACAGGAAGGGTAGGAATGTGGCATGTAGATTCTGGTGCAAATTACCTTCTGCTTTCATTCAGAGCAATTTGCTTTGGGAGTTAATTTCTAGGACTAGCAATGGCTTCAGGGAAATTATTTTTAATTGGAATCGCAACAGTGGGAAGAGGTAACACCTCCCTCTGCATGCTAATAGAGATTATTCTGTTCCGCTAGATATATATGTAGAAAAGCTATGTTAGAAACAATAAAAGAAACCACATATTTAATATTATATATCATTTCACCATGAATGTGACCCTTTCATTAAAGTATGTATTGTATAACTTTTTTCCAAGCATGCTAACTACAGTATGGTTTATGAGCATACGTTGTCTTAAAATTTTAGCCAGACTCTTTCAGGTAAATTTATCTTGAGCAATATATTGTCTTTCAACTGCTATGTTGCCTATTAATTGATTATTAGGAATCTGAAGGCAAACAATTGGTTTGAAATTATACTAAGGGCTAAACTGGAACTGGTTAAATTTCCTAGTTTAACCAATCCAAAATACTGGGCAGACTGACAGATGTAGCAGATCAGTTACTTATATAGATCATTAAGTTAAATAAATCAATTTATGATTTGTCTTGTTCTTCTTTGTGCTAACATGGAATTCCATTATTAGTTTTAATCATGTTTAAAGAGATATGTTTGTATTACTTGTGTCAATTTGTTCAATCCATCAGTACATTGAGTACACTCAAGTCTTATATTCTTTTTTGAGTTTGATGTGATCATCATAGTTTTAACCAACCAACCCCCAACAACATCTGGCTCTCTTTGGTAAAAAGGGATCTCCCTGATGAGCAAAGACACATGGTGTGTTTGCTTATCTCCTTATGCAGGAGTTTATGCTGAATTTATGGCAACCATGTGAAGCCAAACTCAGAAACCAGTGTTATCGTTTCCACTCGGTTAATCAAATCCTTCCATTTTAGAGGGGGATTTGAAGGAAGGATCAGTAAGAAAGTGAGTATTGTTATGCTTTATAATATAACTCCAAGTCTTATCATCTACTATTAATTTAGAATTATTTCCCTTTAATTATTTTTAACCATTTACACCATTTGGTAACATAGAAGCAGAAGCAGAGAGGAATGCATGAAAAAGCAACATGGAAGAAACACGACTATAAGGAAGCCATAATTGTCTTTCCCAGGTAAATTTTACGTCATACCCTCACAGTTGCTCAGTTTCAAGAATTTTGAATTGGGAAACAATTACAAGTATTCAACTCCCATGCTAATGGGAGTCAGGAAAGGCAAATCATTTTTTTCCTATGGAATAAAAACAAAAGTTGTAATACTTAAATTCTGGAATAAAGAGTTCTCACTTAAACTTTGTCAGCCTACCATATTGGGGAAGGTGATTCATTTTTGTTGAACAGAAGTGCATCTCGTGGGCAGACCTGCCATAAGAGGCTGAGTAGATGTTAAGAAATTTTGATTCATGACAGTGTAGTTTCAGTTCTTCATTTTCACACACTGATCTAGTTTTATATTCACCTGAAAAAGAAAGGGATAAAAAAGCAACATTGAGAGATAACTGGGCTCTTGGATAAGCGAAAAGAACATTCTGTGCAGGTTCTGTTGCCACTTGTGTATGCAATGGAGATAAATGGTGAAAGAATCACATACTTACTGAGAGATCCAGCTAAGACAATAATAGTTCTAAACAGGGGTTTGTTAACTCCATTCTATACCACTGAGCAATACTGAGTGCCATATTACTTTTCTTTGGTAAAAAGATAGAATGGAAATCAAATAAGATTAAGAACAATCCCTATCCTGTTGGAGAATTATGGCAGATGATTTAAACATTCATAATTATTGATACTCTTCACCATGTGTTATATACCCTGTGTATTTTTTTTGATAACCAGTTGTACCCCATTGGACTAGACAAAATAGGGCAAGAGATTTCTTTGGCCATATTCCAAACTAATCCCTTAGTACAGAATAGGGACCTTAAGGGTGAGAGAGGATTCACTCCCAGTGACTCTGGGTGCTGATAGGCAAATTGTTGTCTCTGGGCTGCATGTACCACTAAGTTCTTTTTTGTTCCCCAGCATCTATTGGGGAACAACAACAAAAACACCAACTACAGAGACTTTACCCAGCATTTCTCACCAGACACTTAAAAAGAAAAAAAAGAGTTAAAATTTAAAGGAATGTCAACAACAGCTCTAACGGGTCTTCCCAGCTCCATAAATTACTGCATTGAGCCAATGATGCTGCATGGTAACGGTGGTTGGATACACCATCACTTTTCTATTACTTCTTTTGTTTTTTTCTTATACTATCCACTCAAACAAAACCAAGGAGAAATGTAGTTAAAACAGCTCAGGTTGTAAAGATGAATCCACAGACATCTGTGATAATTCTATAATTTTTACTTTGGAATAGTTTCTGGCCCAAGACTGCTGGTTGTTTCTGGATAATATCGAAAAATATTTTCCAGGCATTTCTGATAATACTCTTGTATATATGTGAATATATTTGAAAAGCAGCTACAAGAAGCTTTGGGGCTCTGTAGAATCTTTATATATATTATCTAGCATTAACACATGTACATGTGTGTACATGAATAGGGAAGAATAATGCACTCAAGAATATCCAAAGATTTTACACAGTAATTTGATTGGTCTTGCACACCATGCAAGCTAGACTTTCTATAAACATAGTTTACTTAATAAACTACAATCCACGTAACATGCAAAGCCATTAACTATAATTTTTACATTATCAGCTACTATCTTTACAGACAGGCAGTGCTTCCTGCTCTGGGCGCCTTCCTATTATATCGACTCCAGTACCAAGAATTCTCATCAAAGTTCATCCTGGTTAGGGAAATTCACTAATTTACAAGATGCCCACATTGGGAAGGGTAAGCACAACAAACATTTTTACATGTGATTGCAATGTTTGAATTTAGCCAGGTCAGGGCTTTGCAGAATTCCATGCGAGGATTTTTGTGCTGTTATTACAATTTAAACTGAAAGAAACATACATAAAAAATGGTGTTTGACCATTCTGCAAATCACTTACTAGGTCGGCACTTAAAGGAGACTAGGAGGTATTTAGTGACTCCTGGACATAACTCAGATCCAAAAAGTCGACTATTAACAAGGAGTTGGCAGTCTCTCAGGTCCTGGCATTCATCGAATACTTTCTAAAATAATGACCAAAAATAAGTCTTAAAAAACAGTTTAAATAACTATACAACAATGCAAATCCTGACAATTTAAGATCTATCGTGTCAAACATTACCCACTGATTAACAGTAATAAATTTATCTATCAGAGTACTAAAATAAGATTTCCAAAGCAAATTATGTGAAATAATATTAACACATTACCAGAGATGTTACTGTTCTAAAGAGTAAAACTTAAATATGAGAAGCCTAGATTCAAATCTCCACTACAGGTTGTTTCATGAACACTGGAAAAACAAGAAGTTGTAGTAATGTCAGAGTTCCATTTCAGAAACTGTCATGAGCGAAGCAATCTGAAGATCTACAATTCAATGAACTTGAAATACATAATTAACATTATGATGGTAAATTACTTTTGAAATTACCATTTTTAATTCTCCCCAATCCCACTAAATGAAGACAAGTTCAGCTACCAGTAAATGAAATTTATACAAAGCATAACGCATTTCTGTCATACTTGGCTATCTTAAATTAACTTCTAATGAAGGGCTATTTAAGGCTATAAATATTTATATACTGTGGCTTTACTGCCATTATTAGCACTAAGAAGCAAAGTGCTTTTAACCACTTTCCTCAAATTTCTGGAAGTAAATACCTGGAGCCAATATGTTTAAAATGGGCAAGAGGTGATAATTTTCATGCAAACAAATAAAAGAGAACTGAGAAAACAACACGTAGAAGAGAATTAAAAGAAAGGTCCATAGAACTACAATATAGTGACAAGTACTATCTAATAATCTCATATTCTATCTAATACTCCCATAGTCTACCTAATAATCTCATATTCTATCAATTCAATATAATTTCAATACAATTCTATCTACTGGAATTTACTGTAAGTAGGGGAAAACTGTTTAACTCCCTGGAGCTCTTGTTGCAGAAAACAACTAATTTTTAGGAGAAAAATATATTGAAACTGTAATGAAAGTCCTAACAACCAACCAATCCAGGAATAACATATACAGGCAGTCCTCGACTTACAACCACAATTAAGCCCAGAATTTATGTTGCTAAGTGAGAAATTTGTTAAGTGAGTTTTGCCCCATTTTACCACTTCTCTTGCCACAAGGTTGTTAAGTGAATCTGGCTCCCCCACTGGCTTTGCTTGTCAGAAGGTCGCAAAAGATGGTCACATGACCCCAGACCAGGGGTGGGATTCAGCTGGTTCGCACCTCTGCGGCAGAACCAGTAGCTAATTTTTTGTTGCCCAGGCCCAAAATGGACTTCCGGAAGCGGCATCCACACAGAGAAACTATTGTTCACATATTTGAATCCCACCACTGCCTGGGACACTGCAACCGTCATAAATATGAACCAGTTGTCAAGCATCCGCATGTAAATCAAGCAACCACGTGGGAGGCTACAACAGTCGTAAGTGACATATAAACTATCTACAACCACAAAAAATGTTGGAGATTTCTGCTTAGCAGTAAGAACAGAATATCTTTATGATGGTTCAAGTACTGCTTACTGAATTCAGAGTGCCCATTATTACTAAAGCAAAATAAATGCAATTAACTATAATAGTAATCCTATATAAATCATCAGGACTTTGTGTTCATGTTCTTCAACTTTTATACTCAAATCTAGTTTACAACTAAGGTGTTATACTTCTTTTCTTTTGAAAACCATCAAAATAGTACTAACACAAACATAGATTGCAGGAAGGCTGGTTTACCTGCCTATAGTAGAATAATACTCCCTAACAAAAGAGTATATAATTTTATTCCCTTTTGCTGAATGAATCCTAGATGTGATTATATCCTTTCATATTGTACCTCCCAACTTTTTTAAACAAAAAAATACTAAACTAGAATAATGCTCAAATATCTTATTATTTTTCCATTATTATAGCAGGATGAAATGCAGGGAAAAAAGCAGAACCAAAATCAATGACTTTGCTTCTAAACTCAGTCTGGAATATGAAGCCTCAGCCTACAATCCCATCTGCTTTGTCTTCTTACAGTTCAATGAAATGTATTTACAGGCATTGAATGAATACAATGGGAGCCGATGTATAAATATCATGCCAATTAGGAGGATTAAAGATCCTACCATGTAGGGTACATTCATGTCTGACCACTTTTTTGACATGATTTCTATTCAGGAAAAGACTTTCCTATTCTTTATATTGCTATTTCTAAGTTGTTCTATTAAGGAAATAATTCTTGCCTTAAAAGGGGGCAGCATTAGCAATATTCCCCAAAACCTTAAGTATAATTAGCCTATATATGATTAAGTGACTGGGCTGTAGCATTATTATGGTATTATTATAAAAATGCTCTACAATTATATTTTCGTTTCTCCAAGAAGGCAGTCAAAAATGCCAAAAATGAGAAATCAGAAATTCTCTATACTAGATCCTCTGAATTGTTAGCCTAGTACTACGTAGTCTTGCTATGAAATTTGCTGGTAGATATTTCAATGTACTTATTATTGGTAGTATTCCTTTATCTTATCAATACTATGCTATACATTCTGTGGCTGATTGAAAATTTGGAGCCAGAATTTTTCAGTTGGCAACATAGATTTAAGTCTTTCAGGAAACTCCACTGACCTAAAGTAATGCCAAGACCATTCTGACAAAACTTGTGGATTGGCACAAATTAACACTGGACCATTGGCCATGAATCTTAATAGACATTCACATTGTTGGGTGGTCTTTTGTCCCAATCTGCTTGGCAAGAGACGAACTCAGACAGCTCATTCAGCAACTAGGTCTGTGACAACTCCTCCCCCCCCCAAACTGGATTACTCTTAGGATGATGAGATCCCGCTCCAATGCGTTCTTGAATAGCGTGTGCCACTGTACTTAACTACAGTCAAACTTCAACCAGTTTCATTTAAAAAGTTACGTAATTTAAAATGACAATCTCATTTTATATTTTTTGAACAATCAAATATCAGCTTTACAACTGCTCAGATTTACTCTCTGTATTAATATGAAAAAAGTGTTTGTTCTGAAGGGATAAAATTGTGAAGAAAGGTTATCCGATAAAGTCTCATAATAAATAATACAAATCCTCCTGCATGTTTCAGATATAGCGTGCTGAAACTTTATTCATTTCATTTTTAATCTATTGTAAGTAATCTAAAAGACTTCTGATTTGTTTAAAATGCTACATTATAGTATTTTATACCTGCAAGGTAGTAGATGCCACACAGTTTAGTGCCTCTTTCACCATGACTTCAGGTTGCTGTGCACTACACAAGTGGTAAGCTTGCCCATAATATGCAGATTGGACACTTATTGTTGAATGCCGAGGACACCGGAGACTCAAATGATCACCGTCACAGGCATAAACGGTATGGTTTCGCAGGAGTTTGGTTAGGTAACCTAAAAAATATTTAACTTGTGTTACATTTAGTGAAGCAATATTCTTTTCTCCTCTAAATTTGAATTAAAAATGATCAATAGCTTTTTAGCTTGATTAATAGTTTGGGATGTTAGGAAAGGTCCACTTATCTTTAAATTGAAACAAATCAAGGCCAGAAGAAAATGTGCTGCTCCTGTTGCTAATCCCTGTTCTCTTCAACTATGTCATTTTCAAATCCTAGTCAACAATGTTTCTGCATAGTACTCAAGAGGAGAGAAGTTGTCCTTTTTATGATTGTGTACATGACTAGGTCACTAACAGTGGGAGAAATGAACTCATTAACTGCCCAGCTACTATTCCACAAAAGTGGAAGTGATTGAAAGTCACAAATGTAGAGGAAACTGATAAACACAAATACATCTCATCTGCTGTCTTTCCTCTAACTTGCTGGAAACCTGGGGAGATTGTGCCAAAAAGAGAAAGGGGGAGAAAATATAATGTTTTAATCAGGACCTCAAGAACGAAAATTCTAATGGAAAAGGCAAAGGGCTGAGATGGAGATTGGCTAGTGAACAGAAGAGATAGCATGCCCAAATCTTCTTATACACTCAAATCTTATCACAATCACAAAGCAACTACAATCATTATTTGCTCACTTGTCCCTTTTTTTAGCTAAAAGATGAAGGATAAAGAGGCAGAGGTAACCGCTTAAGCTCAGTATAGAGTTGCCTATATTGGAACGGAACAGAACAGAACAGGTGAAACCAGTTTTGTCTGCTATTCAGAGTGAGCAAAAGATAGGAGGTAGGAGTACTGTAGACAGAGCCTTCTTTTCTAAATCCCACTTCAAGGAGGAAGCAGGGAAAGTTATAGAGAAGTGGAGTTCAGAAAAGAAAGAAATGAAACTAGAAGAGGGGCAAAGATTTCAGGGACTTCTTGGCTGGAAGATTGCCTGCCCCTTGCTTATTTTCTAGCAGCTACTGTAGTGAAGAGGAAAAGAAAACAAATGACTATTTGCAGAGCTTTTTTTCTCATAGAATGTCCAGAACGGAGTTCCGGCATCTTTTTTGGATGGAACCTTGTAGGGTAGGCAAGGCAGGTTGTATGACATGTGTGAGTTCCGGCACTTTTTTTTTTTTTGCTTCATGTTGCTTTTCTTGCTTGTGCTCTTCTTCTGCAAAGATGTGTTGTGCTTATGTGTAATCACAGCCTTTGAGGACTGCAAGTAGCATCTCCACAGGACACTGGAGAATGTGGGCCTACATCTATGTT